ACAAATACCTGCAACTGCATGCGAGGTGCAGGGAGTAAAGTGAGTACTCCAACTCAGTGAGTAATAAAGGTAAATAATAACTGAGCAGCAAGAAATCATGTAAAGCAACAAACATGCCATATAGAAGCCAGGTACAATTTTCTGAGAAAACAGTAAAATCTGTGAAATCTTTAGAAGTACCTTGGCTCAGTTCAAATCTCTTTTGAAAATGATCTTTGCAATAATTATGAAAATGGTTTCAAAATAGCTAGTGCTGATAAGCACGAAAAATCCACCCCTCGGGCACAAATACCACAGTATAACAGGTAAAGAGGCAAATAAGTACACAAGATGAGCACATAAAAGTTCGCCCCTCGGGCAATATTTCAAACTGAACCAGCCCCTCAGGCTCACTCTCAACAACACTCTCAGCCCCTCGGGCTCTCTCTCTCTGATCACTCTCAGAACAGTATCACATAGTAGCCGCTGCGGCGTGCAGCCCGATCCACATATTGCTGCGGCGTGCAGCCCGATCCATAGCTCGCTGCGGCGTGCAGCCCGATCCATATGGGTACCCGCGCTCACTGTGGGGGTGCAGACTCCGGAGGGGCTCCTACAGCCCAAGCGCTATATCACTGCGGCGTGCAGTCCGATCCAATATATATATATATATATACTGTTGCGGCGTGCAGCCCGATCCATATGATATATTGCTGCGGCGTGCAGCCCGATCCATATAAGTATCACTGCGGCGTGCAGCCCGATCCATATATAATCCTCACATCCAGGCCCTCGGCCTCACATCACTCAATGTATCCTCACATCTGGCCCCCGGCCACACTCAGTCAGAATATCATCGCAAGCCCCTCGGGCATTAGTAAAGTTGTAGTCCTCAGCCCAGATTATCATTTAAAATATCATTTAAGACTCAAATCTGAGTAAAAGTGGCTGAGTTGTAAAATAGTGGAGAAACAATATGACTGAGTTCAAGCAATAAGTCAAAATAGTGAGGAAACAGTGAAAATAATGCCCGAAGGATTCAAATAGTTGGCACGAAGCCCAAATGTGGCAATCAGCCCAAACAGCAGTGATAACAAATAAATTCTAGTCAAATACGCAGTAAATTCATCAATCGGGACGGACCAAGTCACAATCCCCAGCGGTGCTCTACCCCACGCCCACTATCCGGCGTGCAAGTCACCTCAATATAGCACTACGATGTGCAAATCGGGGTTTCGAACCCTCAGGATATCATTTACAATCATTACTCACCTCGAACCAGTGAAATCTCTAGCTCGCGACGCCCTTGCACCTCAAATCGGCCTCCACACGTGTCGAATCTAACCAAAATCAGAGCGAATACATCACAATATGCTAAGGGAACAATACCCAATCGAAAACAATCGAAAAATATCAAGAATCTCGAAATTAGCAAAACCCGAGCCCCGGGCCCACTTCTCGAAAATCAGAAAATTTAACATTAATGGATTCCTCATCTTCTCACGAGTTCATACATACTAAGAACTCTCAAATCCGAGCTCAAATGACCCATCAAATCCCAATTTGAAATATCAAAAACTCAAGCCCTAGTTCATCAATTTTAGGCTTAATTTCCATGAATTTCTAGACCAATTTCACAATATAATCGTGTTTTAAGGTCAAAAATCTTACCTCCAATCGATTCTCCTTGAATCCCTCTTCAATTTCCTTCAAAAAGCTCTCAAAAATATCAACAATGGAGTAAATGAGCCCCAAAATCGCGACTGACGTGTTTTAAAACATTCTGCCCAGGTATTTACTCTTCGCGATCGCGGAGAACAATTTTTCCAGCCCAAAATTTACTCTTCGCTATCGCGGTCAATGCTTCGCGATCGCGTTGACCAGTTCCCAGCTCTTCCGGACAGCCTCCAGTATAACGGTCATAACTTTTTGCACACAACTCCAAATTACAAATGGTTTAATGTTCTGAAAACTAGACATATAGGGCTATAATTTCATAGGTTGCTCATTTCCTGAACCCTTATATATTACGAGATATAAGCTTTCAAAGTCATCCCTGTGTATTAGAGACCTTCCCAGGCAGCCTATAGTGTAACCACCATAACTTTTTGTACACAACTTCAAATTCCAATTAATTTGCATTTCTGAAAACTAGACACAAAGGGCTACAATTTTTATTTTTGGATCATCTCCAAATTCCTTATAGATTGTGAGATATAAGCTTCCGAAGTGGGATAAACGCAACAGAATATTTCTTCTCCGCGATCGCGAAAGGCTTTCCGCGATCGCGATTCATTGGCACGTTTCTCACATTTTATTCACCGCGATCGCATAGAACACTGCTGTAGCCAAAAACCAGCAGTTAAAAATGGCCTAAAAATGGTCCGAAATTACCCAGAAACTCACCCGAGGCCCCCCGGGACCTCAACCAAACATGCCAACCAATCCTAAAACATCATTCAAACTTGTTCCAATCTTCGGAACGCTCAAAACAACATCAAAACACAAATTTTTCGTCGGATTCAACCTTAAAATTTTCAAAAACTCTAAAAACACATTTTCGATCAAAAAGTCTACCAAACCTCGTCCGAATGATCTGAAACTTTGCACGCATATCCCAAATGACATAACGGAGCTACTGCAACTCTCGGAATTCCATTCCGACCCCTATATCAAAATCTCGCCTATCAACCGGAATTCGCCAAAATACTAACTTTGCCAATTCAAGCCTAATTCTACACCGGACCTCCAAAACCACTTTCGATCACACTCCTAAATCACAAATCATCTCCCGGAGCAAACTGAACCATCGGAATTCACATCCGAGCCCTCTAACTCATAAGTCAACGTCCGGTTGACTTTTCCAACTTAAGGCTTCTTAAAAGAGACTAAGTGTCTCATTTCTTATTAAAACCACTTCAAATCAACTCGATTACACAAGATATGGATAATGAAGCATAAGGAAGCTGAAAATGGGGAAATCGGAGCGGTAACTCATGAGACGACGGGTCGGGTCGTCACACTGAAGGATTTAAAATGCTTGAAGCATATAATTCAAAGTCTCGAAAAATGTACTCGATCAAAGTACAAAGATCTTTGTACGGTTTTAATCAATCTGTGCGCATGTGATATAATAGCCTCAGTGAATATTTGCTAAAAGAAGGTTACATAAGTGATGTTATTTGTCCATGTATTTTTATAAAGAAATAGCATCAAAATTTGTTATACTTGTTGTTTATGTTGATGAAATAAATCTTGTTGGAACTCCATAGAGTTCCAAAAGGCAATTGAATATCTTAAGAAAGAACTTGAGATGAAAGATCTTGAAAAAATAAAATTTTATCTTGAACTGAAAATTGAATATTTAGCACACGGGGCCTTTATCCATCAATCTGCATATACAGAAAGGGTCTTTAAATGCTTTTACATGGACAAAGCACACCCATTAAGTACACCAATGTGTATTTGATCACTTGAAGTGAATAAGGATCCGTTCCGACCTCCAGAAGAGAATGAGGAACTCCTTGGTCCTGAAATACTCTCTCTTAGTGCAATTGGTGCACTTTTTATCTTGCTAATGCTAACAAAGGTGGTGCAGATCGTATGGTTATGCAGATGCAGGTTATTTATCCGATCCCTATAAAGCTCGATCTCAAACTGGGTATGTGTTTATATGTGGAGGTACTGTCATATCATGACGCTCCACAAAACAATCGATTGTTACTACTTCTTCAAATCATGCTGAGATAATAGCTATTCATGAAGTAAGTAGGGAATGCGTATGGTTGAGATCAGTGATTCATTTTATTCAAGAAAAATGTGGGTTGGAATGTGATAAAAAAAAAACCACAATATTATACGAAGACAATGCTGCATGCATAGCCCAATTAAAGGGAGGATTCATAAAAGGAGATAGAGCGAAACACATTTTACCAAAGTTATTCTTCACACATGATCTCCAGAAGAATGGTAATATCGATGTGCAACAAATCCGTTCAATGACAATCCAACAGATTTATTCACTAAATCTTTACCAACTTTAACTTTTGAGAAGATAATATACAAGATTGGAATGCGGAGACTTAAATATTTGAAATAAAGTTTTCATTAGGGGGAGTAAAATACGCGATGTACTTTTTTTTTCCTTACTAAGGTCTTTTCCCATGGGGTTTTCTTTATAAGGTTTTTAATGAGGCAGCTAGCAATGCGTATTACTAGATATGTGTACTCTTTTTCCTTCACTAGAATGTTTCCCATGGGGTTTTTTCTAGTGTGGTTTTAATAAGGCGCATTATTTTTTAATGAACATCCAAGGGGCAGTGTTATAAATATATTATATTGTGGATGTCCATTTAGTACTCTGTTATAAATAAGCTTCCCGAAGAAGCTTACCTATATTGGACTCTCCCGTAAATATATTTATCTATTTAGTACTCTATTGGAAATAAGCCTCCTGAAGAAGCTTATCATTTTGGCACTCCATTGTGGATGAATATTACTCGTGTAGAAGATTATCTATAGCTGGCACAATAACAACTTACAAGAAGCTTACACATCAACTTGCGTAGGAGCTTACAAACAGCTTATACAGCAGCTTGCAGTAGCAGGTTACACGACAGCTTGCAGTAGCAGCTTACACATCAGCTTCCTTTCTTCTATAAATAGAAGAGATTTCAGTTCATTATGTACAACAGTTTGAAGTTAAATAATATATCAATCTCTCTCTATACTTGTCTTCGATTTCTTTACTTTACAGTCTTTATTTTATAACATTTGTATATGATTGGTAAATTGTATATGACCATATAATTAAATTAAAACTTAATTAAAGAGAGTAAATAAATTTCATATGTAATATAAGTAGGTAAAAATCCCTACATTAATATCAATTTGAAACCATATGAAATGTTTTATAAAATATGAACATATTTCACATGCGCATAGACATTTTCTTTTTCCCAATATGTCGGTCCCTACCAGTAGTTTTTTTCTTGAAAATACAATTTTATTTTCAGGAAAAAGGAGAGATTTTTTTGAGTGAACTCTATCTCTTATTCCCAGTATTCGACCATGAAAATACACAGCAACAGTCCCACACAATTGACAATGCCTTGTAAACTACACTGTAAGCCATAATTATCTCTTCTGCCTACACATCAAGAAAAAAAATGTTGACATTATTATCTTCTTCATCTCTCTGCAATTCCCCTTCGCTTATTATCCATTCCTCAAGAACAATCAACCCATGTCTACCCAGTTCAATTCCACTCTCTTCCTCTGGTTATTTCAAGAGAAACAGAAATTCAGTTGCAAGTCGTAAGCTTGGAATTGTTGCTGCTACTGAAGAAGAAAAAGACCCATCAGTACCCACATGGGCTAAACCCGATTCAGATGAGCCACCACCTTGGGCTAAAAATGAATCCCAGAAAGATTCTTCAACCTTTCAAGTTCCTTTCATTGTTTATTTGCTTGCATCTGCTGTCACTGCAATTGCCGCGGTGAATTGTTTATCTTGAACTTTTTTTTTTGGAAAAAAAATTGATCTTTTAATTTTTGATGGGTTTTTTTATTGAGTTATGAGTGCAGATTGGTTCTGTTTTTGAGTACGTGAATCAGAAACCTGTATTTGGAGTTTTGGGCTCAGATAGTGTGTTTTATGCTCCTGTGCTTGGGTTCTTTGCTTTCACAGGCATTCCCACTTCTGTAAGTAGATAAAGTTTTCTTCTCTATCCATGTGTTCCTTCAGTTTTTGTTAAGTTGAATTATTTTGAATAATGAAACTAATACTATGCAAATTTGGACTTTTGCCTAGTTCTGTCTTTAACACACTTGTACATAATGGTAACTACTCCTTATGTTTAAATTATAGGCAAACAACTTCTTTAATAAGACTGAGGAACCAATGAAAAAGTTTCTTAATGATTGGTCTTTGTTTTGTTAGTTACATTATGGATCAAAATTACTACTTCTGGCAAAACAATAAAGGTGGATTTTTCTGTGTTCATTTTAGCTGACTAGAATGTTATCCAGGCATACCTTTGGTTCAAATCTGTTGAAGTTGCTAACAAGGAAGCAGAGGAGCAAGACCGCAGGGATGGGTATATGTAACGTCTTATGTGCGATTTTTAGGTGATATGTGCAGCAGCTAAAATGCATTTTTCAGATGTCTTTGGTGGTTGTTGCCAAAAACATCATTATGTCAAATGGACATTTTCTTGAGTTGATCTTTCTAGGCGACATAAGTGTACAAAATCCTGTCTTCTAAATACTTGCCATTCCGAATTATCAATTTTGTATTGACTACTTGTCTAAAAGTCTTGGATCATGTTACTATTTCCATCTCTTGTTTGGATAAATCAGTTTACCAGCTTGTGGTTAGAGAAGCTACTGGCTGAACATTTGGCTCAACTTATGTAAGTTATCTGCCAGTCTAGTTTTGCTTATTAACTCTTAACTTATCGACCTTGGTAAATCACTAACTTTCTATCTAGTCCATCACTAAACAGACTTAAGGAGCATGAAGCTTTCACTTTCACAGAGTATTTCTTTAAGTTTTACTCCAATAAATAGAATTTTGAAAAAATGCATAGTACTTGCTCTCAAACTAATTGGCTCTTGGAAGGGATGGAAGTGAGCAGTATGATCTGTGATGTCAAATCTTGTAATGGCAGTTCTGTGATGAGAATGGAAAAAGTTAAGTTAACGAGCAGGACTAAGTTCTCCATGTTAGTTTCTCCTTTTCTCTCTGTTTCAAGTGTTGTTTATTCCAGATAAAACGTACAAAGTAATTTCTTACAATGAGCTTCTTTGATTTCTCCTAAAGTAGTCAATGTCTGGATGAACTGCTTTTGATGCTGGATTTGATATAAGGGGTTAAAAAATTTAAATGCCGGAGTAATGAAGGTCTTACTTTTATGATAGGGACTACTTCAACTGAAAAGATGACATTTACAGGAGTTGAGTTCTTTTGTTTGAAGAGAATAGGATGACTGCACTGTAACCATTAGTCTATCAGAAACATTTTCCTGAAGTGCATCTTTTCCAAGTAACAGTTTGCCAACGTTTGTGCTTAAGTATGTGGCAGATATGCATAGTAGATTCCCGTCAGATCAGAAGTTAGTTTGCATGAGGCAGCCATCAAGCGGCTCCTTTCCTGCGTGCCTTAATTGCAGGGGCAGGGATCTAAGGGGGGTCTTACTCTTTTCCCCACAGACTAAGCTACTATACGGCGCCCCAGGTGAGGATGCCATACTGTGAAAAGAATCCATCTACATCACTATACATTGCTTTTCTCTACATATTGATAAAGAGGCTAATTGGATAGAATGAATCTTATAATTTGGTTTGGATGAAGTGCCATCTAAAACAAGACAAACTGATGCTCTGATTGTCTCTAATTGGAGCAAGAAACAATACACTTATATTTATTTGCAGTTGATTGTTGTTTGTATAGTTTGATGTTCTCCTTCTTGGCATAAGTAAAGCATTCAGAAGAACACCTACGTATGGGCTTATGTTGGTTCTTCTGGGTTTTAACGTATCAGCTTTGTTTTTTCCACGGTGCCACCTAAGTAACTATGATTCCTGGATCTCAATATTTATCCTTTATGAACTGAGTTCCTACATATTGCTTCCACGCATTATGAATGTGCCTATAGCTAAAAGCCACACTCCATATTCATTAAATCATGGATTCTCCTCAGTCAATTGAGAGTACTTGTGCCAAGAAAGAGATCCATGCAACTGAGGAAGAGAAAACTTCAAAGAAACTAGAGCGAGCTCAATGGCTTCGAGCAGCAATCTTAGGAGCAAACGATGGATTGCTTTCCACTACATCCTTGATGCTCGGTGTTGGTGCAGCTAAAGATCAAGATCAACGGTCTATGGTACTTTCTGGAGTTGCTGGAGCTTTTGCAGGTGCCTGTAGCATGGCTGTCGGAGAGTTTGTCTCTGTATCTGCTCAACGAGACATTGCTAAGTCCATTTCTGACAACTGTAGGTTGGAGAACGAGTTAAAAGGAGATGATGGTGGATACAAAACGAAGATTCAGATAGCTTGCAGCAGTCCAACTATTGCAGAAACCAAGGGCGGAGATGCCACCAACATCAATATATTGGCGACTTCAAGACAAGGTGGAAAGCTGCTATATGAATCACCTGTGCAAATACAGCACCATATTGCTTTGACACCTGCAAGATCTCCTATGATAAAAGTTATGGAAATTGATGCAAAACGAACGATGAGGGAGGAGTCAAAACTGGAAAATATCAGAAAATTAGAGCCACTGCCTAATCCATTGAAGGCTGCAGCAGCATCATCCCTGGCTTTTCTGTTTGGAGCCTTTGTTCCTATGGTGCCAGCTCTAGTGGTGAGTGAAAACAGAATCAGGATTGCTGTGATGGTGATTGTAGCATCTTTGGCTTTGTGTTTATTTGGGGGAATTGGGGCTTATCTTGGTGGTTCATCAGTAAAGATATCTGCTATGAGAGTTTTACTTGGAGGGTGGATTTCAATGGCTATCACATATGGTTTACTCAAGCCCTTTGACAAAGATACATACAAAGAGTGATAATGATGATTAATAAATCACATAGCATGTTAATTATCATCAATTTACAACCTAGACTTTGTGTCTATTTTAGAGGGGAAATAGTTCGAGGGTTCACTTCTTGAGATGCTTAGCAAGGACGGTAAAACACCTCATGTTTTCATTTTGATATTCTATTGTGTCCTTCCAACTGCTTAACTCTATAATTTGGTTAAAAGGGTTAGAGTATTATAAATCTCACAATCTAATCCACAGAGGAGAGATTAAAACTCTGTATGGGATTTAAGCAACTAAAAAGGGAGATAGGGGACTTTTAGTCAAAGCATTAAATTATTAAGTCACGCATAATGTAATTGCACCATGAAGTTTGTCAGAGTTGGTTGCCAGAGATGCTGTGTTCAATCTAAAAGGTTCTTAACGTTGGATGAGACAGGGTGGTCCAAATATTATTAGGCTCTGTAATAGTAATTTTAAAGTTTTTCATAGTTTCCTTCAAGGATTCATACATTATGACTCTGATGGTATTGTTCAACTGACATTTGACATTTGAACATAACCGGTGGACTTTGTATAAGAGCACATATTTTATTTTCACAAAAAGAGCAAACAAGTTGTATATAAAATTCAGAAACCCTTTGCACATAAATGGATCTCTAGATATCTCCTTGGACGTTGAGCTTTTGATCTAAGAATTTCAATCCAATCAAGATGAAACAACTAACTTTTAGTCCATAATATTCCCTCTTCCCCTTTCAATATATATAGGTAAGAGTAGACACCTTTACCAAGAGATAATACTGTAAAAAGGAGCTCTTGCCAAAAGGAAAAGAGGTTCTTGGACAGACGTGTTCATATAGGGATTTTAAGTATTTCTTGGGAAACATATCCATAATTGCTATTTTACTTCATGGACGAGTTCCAAGTAAGCACTGTTGGCTCAAGCAAGCGGGGAGGAGTGATCACGCCCAACTCTAGTCCTAAAAAGGATAAGCGGTCGCTGCAAATATAATCCGGTCTAAAAGTCCGGAGGCGAATCCCACAGAGAATTAAGGCTTAGCTATATCTGTTTAATATCACTAAGAAGACAAGTTTGAACAATTTTCTAAATTATAAAGATTGAGATTTATATTTCTAACTAATTAACTACCAAATACTACAAAACGGAAAAATTATCAACTAACGAGACAAAGGGTTGGAGACTAAATTAAGGAAGTCTAGAGTTATGATTTTCCCAATTGTCGGAATCCTTCTAGATATGTTCCCTACAATTTCGCCAATGTATTCTCTACTAATCGTGAGCACTTTAGGTGCCGTAATTCTCTCTCGAGCAACTACAACAATTTACTAGACATATTCTCTCAAACTACGCTAGTTCGCTTTATCTAACCGCTCATTATGACCACGTCAAGGCTTTGTTATTTCTAAACCTACCTTTAAACCCAATGTATTGATTTCTCACATACGTTAGGAGTGACGTTGTTCAACAACAACCTAAACATGTACTCTCTCTCGAGCAGTACACACTAAATAGGCACAGTCAATTGATGGCCATTCAATCAACAACAACAAACACGTAGTTGAACAAGTAGAGAAATCCAACGGCTCAATTATATAAAAACATAACAAGAATTTATCCTACAAAAGATTCCATTAAAACCCTAGAAAACGAATTAGCTATTCATAATAGTATGCAAAAATACAATACTAGAATTCATAACCAATAATGGAAATAGGAAGAAGGAAGTGAAAAACTCGTAGAAAAATTCTCCGCCTTGCTCCCAGTGTGTTCTTGACTCCTTAGGTCGAATCCCCGGTCTCCTTAGCCTCCTTAGGTCTAAATTATGTCAAAAGTGTGTCCAAGGGGACTTCAAGGTCACTCGGGTTGAGTAGAGCCTTGGTGACGGCTTTAGCCGACGGGACGGTGCTTGTCACCTTGTGTCGATATGCTAATCCATCAACGTCCGAATGGTATGGGATTCCTTTTCTAATAGCGGCCTTAGCCGTAGGAATTTTATTTTCGAGCTTATATCAAAGTATCATCCCGTTGCGAGTCCCAGTTTTCTTCGGCGATGGCTTTTGGTCTTAGGGGTATCATCTCGAATTCTCGTCGAAATGTTGACCCGTCGTTGTTCAATCGAGGTCGAACTCTTCTTTTTGACGGAGGCCCTTGGCCCTAAGGGTGTTATTTCGAGCTTTCGTCGAAATATAAACCTGGTGTTGTTCGATCGAGGTCGAACTCTTCTTTTTGGCGGAGGCCCTTGGCCTTAAGGGTGTCATTTCGAGCGTTCGCCGAAATATTAACCCGTCGTTGTTCGATCGAGGTCGAACTCTTCTTTTTGGCGGAGGCCCTTGGCCTTAAGGGTGTTATTTTGATCTCTCGTCGAAATATTAACCCGTTATTGTTCGATCGAGGTCGAACTCTGCTTTTTGGCAGAGGCCCTTGGCCTTAAGGGTGTGATTTCGAGCATTCGTCGAAATATTAACCCGTCGTTGTTCGATCGAGGTCGAACTCTGCTTTTTGGCGGAGGCCCTTCGCCTTAAGGGTGTGATTTTGAGCTTTCGTCAAAATATTAACCCGTCGTTGTTCGATCGAGGTCGAACTCTGCTTTTTGGTTGAGGCCCTTCGCCTTAAGGGTGTGATTTCGAGCTTTCGTCCAAATATTAACCCGTCGTTTTTCGATCAAGGTCGAACTCTACTTTTTGGCGGAGGCCCTTGGCCTTGAGGGTGTGATTTCAAGCTTTCGTCGAAATATTAACCCGTCGTTGTTCGATCGAGGTCGAACTCTGCTTTTTGGCAGAGGCCTTTGGCCTTAAGGGCGTGATTTCGAGCTTTCATCGAAATATTAACCCGTCGTTGTTCGATCGAGGTCGAACTATTCTTTTTGGCGGAGTCCCTTGGCCTTAAGGATGTGATTTCGAGCTTTCGTCGAAATATTAACCCGTCGTTATTCGATCGAGGTCGAACTCTGCTTTTTGGCAAAGGCCCTTGGCCTTAAGGGTGTGATTTCGAGCTTTCGTCGAAATATTAACCCGTCGTTATTCGATCGAGGTCGAACTCTGCTTTTTGGCAAAGGCCCTTGGCCTTAAGGGTGTGATTTCGAGCTTTCGTCGAAATATTAACCCGTCGTTGTTCGATCAAGGTCGAACTCTGCTTTTTGGCGGAGGCCCTTGGCCTTAAGGGTGTGATTTCGATCTTTCGTCAAAATATTAACCCGTCGTTGTTCGATCGCGGTCGAAATCTGCTTTTTGGCGGAGGCCCTTGGCCTTAAGGGTGTGATTTCGAGCTTTCGTCGAAATATTAACCCGTCGTTTCACTATCGGATTTTGGAGAACCGCAGGTCGCCGTACTGTTCGGATATGTCGGGTTGAATGCCGTCGTACTCGATTTTGTTTTTACTGGAGAATATTGGGCTTACTTGCCCTTGTGACTTGTTTTCTTCGTAGAACTGTAAAGCATGAGAAAACAATAATAGGCACTTCTCCTGATACCGCTTTTCAGATGATATCTCTTCCAAAGCTTTACATATTACTGGCTGAATCTCTTTTTCTAGAATCTGTACCAATAACAATCAAGTACGTCCATATAAAGTTGCTAAGCCATAAAAGCAAGTCGTAGCCTGAGCACGACTAAAAAAGATGGCAAATCGAATCAGCAGCGAAAGTGAGATTATAACCATGCACATCCGCTAGCTGGACAAGATATTATTGACAAACAACATGCGTTTTCCATGTAGGTTACTTCCCCGAATAGGAAATGCAGTTAACCATAAGCAAGCTAAGATTCACAACTATAAGCCTCTAACAGGACAATGTTTAAAACCTGCAGCAACGGAAGCAAGAATTGAACCAAGAAAACTATGGCATAAAATATCATAACTAGAACCAAAAAAGAAGGGAGTCCTATTTTTGCTTAGCTTCTGCGTTTCTTAGGGGAGTCCTAGTTTGCTTAATTTTGCTTGCGTCGTGGAGCGTGATATCGGAGAGCAGGAAACGCTGCTTCTTTTCTCACACTCGTTTCACACACATATTGGAGTTTTCCTGTCTAACCTTTTCATTTTCCGGTCTTGAGATGTCATTGGTGGATGGGACGATGAATTACGCTTTGACCTCGGGGGGTTCCCCCTCGTCGGCCCGATCTTTAAGTCCCCATAAAGGCTTTCTTGGGACACTTTTTTGGTGAGGGAGAGGAAGTATCATTTGAAGGGTATCACTTACGAGGCGTCGGGTTCGTCTGGTGGACGATATTTAAGTAGTTCCGTAATAATTTCCCATTCTTCAGTTGGGATGTTTCCTTGCTTGCTCGCCTGTGCTGCGCTTGTGTTCTTGTTCGGGCAACCAATAGAAGGTGGGTTAGGATGATATCCTCCTTATCCCGATCTGATGAGTTGGTGAACGAAGGTGGATCGGTGGCGTTACTTGCTCTGCTTGGTGCTTCGGTAGTTGACAGGGATGGTGTTTTCTGAGTTTGGTAACTATATTCGGTTCTCTTTCCCTTCCTTTTTGTGCCTTATGCGGGCTATGCTTGTTTTGACTGGTTCATGGGCTGCCCGGCGTGCGGGGGATGATGTTGGTTGAACCTTTTGCTCGTATATAGCATCATGATCTAGGTTGGCGTGTGAGATTCGCTTACCGATCCTCTCGGTGGGTGATCATGTTTCCGGCTTTTGATCTGGAGGAGACTAGGAAGTTTTCACTAAGAAATCCCCACAGACGGCGCCAAATTGTTAGACCAAAAATTATCGAGATCTTTTTGGCTAAATCAATTAGAGAAGAATGAACAGGTAAATCTTAGTCAAGCATAATAACCTCCAGATCCATAAACAAATCAGAAAATAATGCATAAGATGAGATAGGAGTGATCAATCTTATTGATGTTTGTCATTTCTTCTTTTGTTAATCGATGGAGATGATTGTTTTTCATCCTCCATGGAAGATGACTTTTCCTTCTTTTTGCTAAGAAGATTACAGAGGAGAGGGAAGAGAGAGAAAAAAAGCCCCCTTTTATGAAAGACTCCTCCCCTATATATAGTTATGGAACCCTCACTATGGGTCGATACACTTGCTTACCACGTCCGCTTTCGTCGTTCCCTGAGTATCGTTCCTTGTCACGGCGGGTATTGTGAGTATGGGGTTTTGGTTCAAAGCATGTCGTCTTCGACTATCTCGTCGCTTGGACGGGATCTCGGGTAGGCCGACTGCAGCGTTCAGATTATGACCAATACAAATACATCCCCACTTTTCTCTCTATCTCCCCATCTGTTCCCTACTCTCTCTAAGATAAAATACATCACTATTCATCCCCTCTAATTCTTCTGAACTTTTATCATTTTCGCGTTTTTATCTAAAAAGAACCATTAGCCATATGGGAGGAGGGCCGTCGGATGTTGGCTAGGACAAAGAGCTAAAGAAAAGTAGGAGAAGATTTTGGTCGGAAAAAACTATCACTCCGGCGAACACTTTTTTTCGACTAGAAAAATTTAAATTATTATAACACAGTTCCCAGAGATTTTATTACTTATCCACCATCGATGTCTTTCTTAAAACTTGCTTCAATTATTTTCTAATGAATGGCAAGAACATAATATGCATCTCCTAAGAACTTATCACTCGTTGTTGGGTCAAGTTATGCGGTAAAACTTGCTTATGAACCCGGGACTAAGTGTTTGGCCGATTCTTGTTGTTTATCATGTTCCTTTTTTTTTAATTTCTCTGTTTGCATTGATTGTGTCTTGCAGGAAAGCGGATCTTGCGGGATAGATTGGGTTCCAGCCAAAAAACTTTTCTTATTTATCATCTATTTTACCACTTCGCTTTCCTTTAATTTTTCAGATTTTGGCAATCACAAAGATTTGATTTGTTTGGGAACGTTAAAATTTTCATCCATTCACGCACCTAACTTTGGGTGTGAAACACGTGCTATGACATGTAAGCAATGAGTGTCTAATAGGTACACTTCCACCTGAGTTTAGGTGTTCAATTGGTCACTGTCTCAGTTCAAGTGCCTAAATGAAAAATATGGACTAGTTTAGGGGGCTGTTAATGTATTCTGCCTTTCTTTTTTTTAAAAAAAATTTACATTATATTTCTTGTGAAGAGAATAATGGAAGATACTCAATCTTAACTGAATAAATATCTTTTCAAAGTCTTTCCGATCTATTTGAATAATAGGTATTTTTTTTTATAATAATTGAATTTAAGGGATAACAAGCAAACTCAAGCACAAACAAATATCGATAAAAAATAAAAGCGTCATTGTATCAACGGAGAGTTGCAAAAGTCCCCCAAAGTAAAGGTCAAACAGTGTTACTATTCACTACTTTAAATCTACATCTATAGATCTCCAAAAACACGACCGCCACCATTCGTATCAAAGATATTATCTTAAGCGAGCTTCATGATCAAATTTCAACTCGATCCAACTGTTATTAAATTGAAAAACACAACATTTAAAGATGACTAGTTGGTGTAAAGGAAATATCCACGCAAGCAGTGCCTTAGTTCACATGTGCTCTTAACTTAACCATAGTTAGGTCATTATAACTGTAGTTAGTCCATTAGTCTGATAATTGTACAGTTGTACATGAGTTGACACTAGTTAGTTGGTCACTGTAGAAAGTAGTTAAATAGCACTGTACATTGTAACTCAGAAATATCGAAGAAGAAAATTTCATTCTCTGTTCTTCTTCACTCAAAGTGCTTCTTCTCTTCTCTGAATTCGATCATTCATTCAGCTCAATCATGAGAATTTAACGTGGTATCAGAGCAATTGATCGAGTGATTCTAAGGAATTTTTTAGCAATTAAGGAAAATTCGAAGGAATTCGCTCATTTCTGTTCTCTTCAGAACCCTAATTTTGTGCAATTGCAATTTTTGGCACTTCGATTTGACATAATTGATGGCGATCTCTGATGAATCAAGCAGTACTGTAAATGACAGAGTCAACACAACCAGAGGATCCACGATTCTCGATCATAATCACCCGCTATATCTACATCCTTCCGACGGTCCTGGATCCATGTCGGTAGGGCTTATACTAACTGGAATGGAGAATTATACTCTCTGGAGTCGGGCCATGAAGGTAGCTTTGTTAGGAAAAAATAAACTGTGTCTAGTCGATGGATCGACTTCAAAAGAGGATTTTGGATCTGATCTAGCACACCAGTGGAATCGATGCAACGCGATTGTGACCTCATGGTTAATGAGCAATGTTAGTATGGATTTGATAACTGGAGTACTTTTATCATCTAATGCTCGTACAGTGTGGGCTGCGTTCAAGGAACGTTTTGATAAAGTAAATGGATCGAGATTATACTATCTGCACAAGGAGATATTCACAATGACTCAAGGAATTTGTTCTGTTTCTACGTACTTTACAAAGCTCAGAGATCTGTGGGCAGAGTATGATTCTATTTTGCCACCACCTCCAGCAATAGAGTATGTTGAGCGGTTAGAATATCAACATCTGTTACAATTTCTCATGGGATTAAGTGATAGCTTTGAACAAGCTAGAAGTCAGATCCTCTTAATGCCTACCTTGCCGTCTATCAATAAAGCATATGCCATGGTAGTTCAAGATGAAAGCAGGCGCATGATCACCGGTAACAATTATGGAAATGCAGGGAACATTGAGCCTACTGCTCTATTTACTGCACAATCAGGAAACAAACAAAGAAGTTATAGTTTGGAATGTGACTTTTGTCACCTAAAAGGACATACTCGAAAAGATTGCTATAAACTAATGATATGTGATTTTTGTAATAAAACAGGACATTTGAAGGATAAATGCTACAAGATCGTGGGTTATCCTCCAGATTTCAAGCCAAAGGGAAAAGCAAATGCTGCCTTATTGAGTGAACAACCTCAGACCACACAAATGTCTAATCAACAGATAAGCAATGCAACAGTTCCAGCCCAGTTCTTCACACAAGACCAGTACAATCAACTATTACAACTATTGAACAAGAATTCTGTTGGATATGCCAATGCTCACATGGCAGGTAAATGCTTTTGTGGCAATGTAGAATTATGTGAAAATATGGTACTTTGCAAATGGATTGTAGATACTGGTGCTACGAATTCATATGACTGGTTCTAAAGACTTACTGCATAATAAACAATCAGTAGGAAGCACAGGACAAGTTCAATTGCCTACAGGAGATTCAGCCACAATTTCACACATGGGAGAATGCCAACTCACAGGAGGTGATACTCTTAAGGATGTTCTTTGTGTTCCAGCTTTCAAGTTCAATCTTTTGTCAGTATCTAATATGACAAAGGACTTGAAATGCTGTGTCACATTCTTTCCACAATGTTTTGTATTTCGGGACCTCTTGTCTGGGAAGGTGAAGGGGATTGGTAAGGAGGAGGAAGGACTATATGTTTTGTCTACATCAGTTGGAGGAAAAGTGAATCGAGCCTTTGCAGCAACTAGTGGAGCAGGTGCAGACTTATGCCATAAACGAACAGGACATGTTCCAATGCAAGTTCTTAGGAAAATTCCTAGCCTACTGAATAATACCAATTTTTCTTATAACAATCAATTGAATAAGTGTGAGATATGTCCACTAGCAAGACAGACTAGAATACCATTTCCACTTAGTAAGAGTAAAAGCTTATCTAGTTTTGACTTGATACACATGGATGTTTGGGGTCCTTATAAAGTTACTACTCATAATGGCATGAGATTTTTTCTTACTTTGGTGGATGATTGCACTAGATGAACTTGGGTGTTTCTTATGCGACTAAAATCTGATGTAGTGTTTTTACTCAAAAACTTTATTGCTTTGGTCAAGACACAATATGGTAAACTTATTAAGGTGTTTAGGTCAGATAATGGAGGAGAGTTTTTTAATCATTCCTGCAAGGACTTATTTCAATTGCATGGCATTGTACATCAGAGTTATTGCCTATACACTCATCAACAAAATGGGGTAGTTGAACGAAGACATAGGCACATACTTGAGATGGCCAGAGCTATTAGATTTCAGGGACATTTGCCTGTTCGATACTGGGGCCATTGCATTGACACAACATTCTGCATTATCAACAGGATTCCCTCCTCAATTCTTGTAGGTAAATCCCCTTATGAAATGCTACATGGGAAACAACCTTCTCTTTCCCATTTGAGAGTGCTAGGATGTATATGCTTTGCAACAAACTTGATCAAGCATGACAAGTTTGAGCCAAGGGCTGTAAGATCTGTTCTATTGGGATATGCAGCACATTAGAAGGGTTACAGGCTATTGGACTTGGAACACAGAGTCCTCTTCAGTAGCATGCATGTAGTCTTTTATGAAGATGTGTTTCCATTCCAATCATTGGACATTGCTTCAGCAGATCTCTTTCTTGATTCTACTCCTGTTCCTAGACAGGATGTTGTTACAGACTCAGCTCCTATGGCTGTTCAGATTCCACATAAAGAACCTTGCACACAATCAGCTCCATGTTCCCCAACTTTACCTAAGACTTCCTGCTCCACAGATATTGCACCTTTCTCAGTTCCTGATGGTGCTTCTACAGTTGCTAATTCCACTATTGATGTTCCAGTGCCCAATTTTAATCCACTTGGGTAGGAAATTAGAAAATCAGGGAGAGTGTCTAAACCTCCCATCTGGATGCAGGATTATGTTCAGCCTACCAAAGGAAAGTCTACAGGCTGCTGCAAATATCCACTTTATGATGTGCTCACCTATGATCATCTTGCACCTAAATATCAAAGTTATTTGTCCCAGTTTTCTGTTGAAGTAGAACCAGTGACCTACCAAGAAGCAGTTGAAGATAAGAGATGGGTAGAAGCCATGAAGTCTGAAATCAAGGCTTTAGAAGACAATCACACATGGGCTCTTGTCCCGTTACCTAAGGGTAATAAGGCTATTGGATGTAAATGGGTATATAAGATTAAATACAAGGCTACTGGGGAAGTTGAGAGATTCAAAGCTAGACTTGTGGCAAAAGGATACAATCAGAAAGAAGGCTTAGACTATCAAGAGACATTCTCACCTGTGGTGAAAATGGTGATTGTCCGGAGTGTGCTTTCCATAGCAGCTTCAAGGCATTGGACCATCCATCAAATGGATGTGTACAATGCATTCTTGCAAGGTGATATCTTTGAAGAGGTGTACATGACTATTCCATAGGGGTTCAGTGATTCTACTGATAAGTCCTTAGTGTGTAAACTGCTCAAGTCACTCTATGGACTTAAGCAGGCTTCCAAACAGTGGAACATCAAACTAACAACATCATTGCGGAATTCTGGTTTCACACAAAGCCACCTAGATTATTCCTTGTTCATCAAGCGAGTGGGAGGAAAGTTGGTGATGGTTCTAGTCTATGTTGATGACTTGTTGATCACAGGTGATGATATATTGCTTATACAACAGACCAAGGATGATTTACAATCCAGTTTTAAGATTAAGGACCTTGGTGAGCTTAAATTTTTCTTGGGCATTGAGTTTGCTATGAGTGACCAGGGAATCTTGATGCACCAACACAAGTATGCTTTGGAGTTGATCTCTGATCTGGGATTAGCAGGGTCAAAGCCCGTCCACTCTCCTATAGAGCTCAACCTCAGATTGACTACCACTGAGTTTGGTGCTCATACAAACTCTATTGGTGATCCTATTCTTCCTGATCCTGGGCTGTATCAATGATTGCTGGGGAAATTGCTCTACTTCACTATCACTCGTCCTGACATTTCATTTGCTGTGCAGTGTTTGAGTTAATTCATGCATAAACCCAAGTCTTCCCATATGGAGGTTGCTATAAGGGTCGTGAGATATGTCAAGTTTTGTCCTGGTATGGGTGTGTTATTAAGTGCTACCTGCTTAGATTCTCTTTCAGCCTTTTGTGATGCAGATTAGGCTGCTTGCCCCAACACACGCAAGTCAGTCACAGGCTATTTTGTCAAGTTTGGTAGTTCTTTGATCTCTTGGAAGTCAAAGAAGCAATATACCATCTCTTGCAGCTCAACAGAGGCTGAGTATAGGAGTTTAGCTTCTACTGTAGCTGAGGTGATTTGGATTCTTGGTTTGTTCAAGAAGTTGGGTATTCCTCATTCCTCTTATATTTCCATCTACTGTGATAGTAAATCCGCTATTCAAATTGTTGCGAATCCAGTTTTTCATGAACGCACAAAATACATTGATATTGACTGCCATTTCATTAGAGAAAAGGTTCAACAAGGGCTGATCAGTACTGTCTACGTTCCTACTACAGAACAAGAAGCTGACTTGTTGACCAAGGTCCTTGAGCGATCTCAACATGACTATTTGGTGTCCAAGCTAGGATTAAAGAACATCTTCAGTGGTCCTAGCTTGAGGGGGGGTGTAAAGGAAATATCCACGCAAGCAGTGCCTTAGTTCATATGTGCTCTTAACTTAACCATAGTTAGGTCATGATAACTGTAGTTAGTCCATTAGTCTGATAATTGTACAGCTGTATATGAGTTGGCACTAGTTAGTTGGTTACTGTAGAAAGTAGTTAAATATCACTGTACATTGTAACTCAGAAATATCGAAGAAGAAAATTTCATTCTCTACTTTTCTTCTCTCAAAGTGCTTCTTCTCTTCTCTAAATTCGATCATTCATTCAGCTCAATCATGAGAATTTAACAGTTGGATGAAAATTCTATAAGAAAGAAGAACGTCCCTCTTCTTTCTTTATTTTCTAAACGTGTCGCCTCCTTTAGATATGTTGAAAATCCAAAACTAAACTTAGGTGTTTAATATGACTTTAAACATAAGTGGTCATAAGGAAACATGGAATTGAATTAGAAATAAATTTTCGTCCACATATTTTTTTTAAAGAAGCCCAGCAACCCAACTATACTTTAGTTAATGCATTTATTTGCCTTATTCAGTACTGATGAAACTTGAAAGACTGTTGCATAACATGGCATCATAAATTGCCGAGAACTACACTCCTTGGAAATGGTAGGCATGTACTTGTTCGATATATTTACAACCATTTTAGCCAGCTAAGAATCTTTTTGATGAAGATCTTGTACAAAGACATTAGAAGGCAATTTGGACAAAGTTAGTTTATTTGAAAAGATTTTCTTCACAGATGATATTGTAACTTACGAGATATGCTTCCTTTCCAGATCAGGAAAAAAAAGGAGAGCGAGATATGCTTCCTTCCGCGTCTGTTTGAATTGAATAAGCACTTTTTTTTTTAAAAATCTGATAACATAAATTAATTTTTTTAGCATATTTGATTAAACTGATCAGTTTTAGAAGTAAAAGCTCTAGACGAAGTACGTTCTGATGTAATCAATGAAAACACGTGAAATATTCCAAAAGCAAAGCAGCCTTAGGATTTTATTGTTGACCATTCTTTAGAACTGGCTGCCAAGCGGTGTTTGATGTTTTATTTTTGCCGAGTAATTACTTACTAGATGGGATTTGAGGAAAAGAAAATAACCACATACATGGGGTGTATGCATCAAAATAATAATTTTATATTATGTGTTTTGATGTATATTTGTCACTTATAATTTTAATCATGATAACTGAAGAAGTATTTATATCTTTACCTCAATTTGCATCTTAATCTTAGTAAAGTAATTAAATTAATATAATTTTTTGCGTGAACCGGGTTCTATGTTTTTTCTCTTTAATCTACAATATATTAAAAACAGGAAGCCCTTAACTTAAAAGTTAAATTACAAAATTATTCTTTTAATTAATACCCTATTTAATTTTATTTTTTTAAAAAAAACTTCAGGGAGCCGTGCGTCTTTGCCAAAGAGACGAAACGTTTTGTTTCCTTCTCTACAAAGAAGTATAAATTTTCCGAAAGGGTACTTTTTCTTCGCTGTTAATGCTTTTGAGTGCGCCGCAACTGTTCAACCAATTTATTTTTTTCGATATCTATCTGGTGAAATAGATATGAAAGTTCACTTCTATTTACATAGCAAAAAATATATGTTTAAACTTTTCATGCTGCTTGTTTGACCAAAAGATGTCAAAACCTTTATAATTAAAGCAACTAATGATAAAGATGAGGTCAATCTTAGTTAAACACAATAAAATCTAGATCAAGCGATGAAGAGAGCAAGCAAGATGAATGATATAACAAATATACTGGAATCAAATGAATGCTCATAAATGTGAAGAGTTAAATGCACAATCAATCTTAAAAGATGCAATCGGCGTTAAGGGGGGGGAATAAATGTGAGATGATTGGGGAATCTTTTGATCTTCTCAGATGAACAAGACTGCTTTTGTATTTACTCTCTGAGGATTATTTTGCAAAGTATTTTTTTGTCTCTTTTCTCCCCTCCCCTTTTTCTTTACTCACCCTTCCTATTTATAAGGGATAATCTCCCAAAAAACCCTAAAAAGTACAACATAGAGAATATTCGAAAGGCGTATTCTTAATGTCTCCTACTAAGTTTATGTTGTCGTGGATGTCATGCATCGACTGACCGCCCTTAATCGTTGCCCTTCACCACGACGGCCATCAGACAGTGTATCATGATAACCTCGTTCCTCGTCCTACTCGGTAATAGTCGTGGTTGCCAAATTTGGACCCATACAGTTAGTCCATCTGCTTGTTGAGGTCGCGGCCCTGTGCGTCCTTGATAAGCGGACACCGCCCATACCCGCGGAGAAATTTGGCAGTTGGGTTGTAATGGTTTAATCACTAACGGAAGAGTGGTGCGTTCTACGGCATTCCAGATAGCATAGCATATCGGGAGATGACGTCACTCCCACGCGCGTCATCATTGCGCGTCTTCCCGAGGCAGAGACCAATTGGCTTGTCCCTTTGGTTTTGGTGCCTTTGGCAGCCTTTCGCTTCGATTCTGGCGCCACACAACCTTATAAATAGATGAAGGTTTGGTTCTTTTAAGAACTTTTGGTCATTTCCTCTTTAGTGTATGTGTTGTCTTCTTTAGCCATTTTTTCTCGTGTCTCCAGCTCTGTTTTCCTGATCTTCCTTCTCACCTTCTTCCGTTCACCGTTCTTTGCTCTGTGTTTTATCAATATACCTTCTGCCATCGAGATGCCTAGAACACATCGGTCACACGAGGAGATTTCCGATGCCACCCCGCTATCTATGGCACCTCCCTCTGGTGGTGAAGATATGGCAGTACAAGAAGGAGAAAGTCTTCCCACCGTGGAGGAGATACTACCGAGAAAGCCCATGTCTCAGAATGATTTTCTTAAAGAACCTATCCCTTCTCCTGCTTCGGTGGTTTCTGAGACTGAACGGGCTCACATAGATG